GTGAATATTCGAATAATTGCTTAGATTTAATTGGAAGTAGAAATGGAGTTAAGTGTAAAACAAAGAATTGAAATACTTATGATGATTGGGTATGGAGACAGATCGCGAACTCAGATGGAAGTGTGCAATTTGTTTAATGATAAATATCCAGAAAGACCTATAACGCGTTCAACAGTCAGTAAGCTGGAAACTGGTACGGTTGCAAATGTACGCAAATCGGGTCGTCCCTCTGCAAATGCTGATACAGCATTAGATGTTTTACTGAGTTTTGAAGAATATGCGCACACTTCTGTTCGTAAAGTTAGTCGCGAAATCGGTGTTGGCAAAACAACGGTACACAAACTATTGAAGCTTGAAAAATGGCATTCTTATAAAATGCAAGAATTAAACGAAGATGATCCCAATAGACGACTCCAATTTTGCGAAGAAATGATGGATAAATGTCACCGAGACCCTCTCTTGATACAAGACATTATTTTTTCTGATGAGTCCACTTTCACGTTAAATGGTGAGGTTAACCGTCAGAATTGTAGATACTGGGCAAAAGAAAACCCCCACTGGATGCGTGAGCATCATACACAATACCCTCAAAAGGTAAATGTATGGGCTGGAATTGTACGAAATCGAATCATTGGACCCTACTATATCGAAGGTAATTTAAACGGGGCAAAGTACCTTGAGTTTTTAAGGGGGTATCTCGTACCTACTTTACGTAATTTATTTCCCAGCAGACGTAATCCTGGAGGTTTTGATGAAAGTTTATGGTTTCAACAGGATGGTGCACCTCCACATTATGCTGTAGATGTTAGAAGGTACGTAGATGAAATTTTTCCGAACAGGTGGATTGGTAGACGTGGACCCACTGAATGTCCACTGAATGGCCAGGTCACCAGATTTAAATCCTTTGGATTATTTTCTGTGGGGCCATCTGAGGAATGTTATTTATAAAACGAAATCAGCAAATATTGAAGATGTACAAGTGAAAATTCGAACAGAAATAAACAATATTACGCAAGAAACCATACACAAGGTTCAACAAGAATTTGTACACCGTTTGGGTAACTGTCAAATACAGCAAGGGCTGCAGTTCGAACATTTAATATAAAGTCATGCATTCCAGCATATTCTGTCCGCTAGACAATAAGTATTTTTGATAATATTGTTAATTTACCTAATAAAGAATGTTACGCGTTACTTTATTAGCACACACACAACTACTGTATTTTTGTCCACCCTGTACCAATTGGAATCAACATGTGATACATTTTTGGAATCAGCTCAGCTAGAGTAATCCGAAAATTGAGACAAAATGGGGGTGTTCTATTTAAAAAAAATGACGGTGACGTCATTACTCGAACGTAATTCACCCTGTATATTAGATTATTATTTTAAAATACGGTAAATTAACATCAAAAATCGACGTGTTTGAGGATTATTTCTTAAAATGACCTGTTCAGCTAAAAATGAATTTGTTCCATACTTTACGGACCAGTGTATATGCCATCTTCAGAGAAAACAGCTCATCATACTTTGTCCGTGAGAATCTTCGAGTTATGTATATATGTGCTAAGTTGTGTGTCTAATAGAAAAATGAGAATTTTCAATCTCAAAATTTGTAATAGACATCCAGCGTGATCAACGTCTTCGAATTACTCCATCGTTACTTGTCTGCTCATTTCTGAGATGACCATGTGGTAGAAATACTGACATTGTATTGAGCAATCTTTCTTTGTGTATGATCAGTGATTTACTCCGTAGAGTCAGCTGAATGTCATGATCCAAGAAGTTCATCTTTCCAGACACCAGTTAGGGACCCTTTCGTCATATTTGTAGTTTGAATTTTCTTATGAGGTTAGTAAAACCACACAGCATCTCCTCATTTGAAATATGTGTCCCTGCTTCATCTGAGCGATGATAGTTCTTAGGCGTTATCTTGTGAACTCTCTCATCGTTATGTGGTCCCCACGACGAGCTTTCTAAGTGCAAAAGTTGCATCGTTACACCAGTCTTCCATGTCACTGTCGAACTCATGCCAGGGTTTTGTTGTTGCTTGAGTGTTCTCTCACTCGACTATGAAGTTCATCTAGCACATATGTGTGCTTTTGGTACGACCAATTGCCTCTGAGTTCAATACTCCATGACAACTTTCCCACGTTCACAGATCAGCTGTTGGGCCATCTTTGAATCAGTTTCACAATACAATCTTTTTCCTGTCTTATTCTTACTTCTTCCAGGGTCCATTCTAAATACGATCTTCAGGTTGTTGTATGTCTCGATTAAGCAATTTGTTCTTTCCTCTTGGTTGCAGGCTCTAAACAATATTCTGATTCCTTTTTCAATCTCGTTGATCCAATTATCATTTAGAAGCTTCGTATTCTTTCCTGCGTCAACGATCTGTGTCTTATCTGTGGTGTTGGCGATCTTTGCCTTCTCTTGTACATTGGCGATCTGACGTTTGTCCTAGAATATGTATTATTTCTTCTATTTCGCTTTGACCTAGGGGCACCCTGCTCTTTCTCCTCATTTGAGAATCATAATAATGATAATCATAAGGACTGTGAAATGCAAATCAAAACTCACCTGGCATATACACAAGTCGTCAAAAGTATTTCTGAAAGCAAGAAATATATTGTAAAGTATTTCGAATGGTGTTTTTATAGTATCATTTTCAATTCATTCACATCTGATAAACCTTTGAAATTTTGGCTTGAACTAGATATAACATCCACGTATCAACGGATCCATTTTTAATTCAGAGTAATCTGAATATATATACCAGTTTCAAAAATCATTTCCTTCTCATATAACACGATATCTTGGTCATTCCCAGGAAATCATCCACAGGTAGGTACTACTTTTTTGCAGTTGTAACAAAGTTTTTTTCTGGAAAATTTAATTTTTTTGTACGCTTTGCCTAATTTTTTGAAACATTTTTGTATCAGCTTGTTGAGTTTGTCGTTCAACAAAACCTGTTTGGACGAGTTGCAACTGCATTTTGGTCTGTACGAAGCCGTTTTCACTACTATGAACACATCAAATATTATACTAAAAACTCATTTGAGACTCACGGATGGCCTTGAGGATAGCTTATTATCTACAGAAGTCTGATCGGACCCTTCAGTGGTGGTACATTGAGGGAAGGTGTCACCTTGAACAGAGAATAGCTATTGTTTGCTCACTAATCCTCACACACTTCGAGTGTTTTAGAGGACATAGATAGGCCAGTTCGATTTCAAGGACAAGTAAATTGAATCAGCAAACAGACTCTCAAGTTCATGTAAACTATCAGAAGCAGAAAATACCCCACTGCAAAACGTAAAGCAACTGGTATCGTTATAATAATACAAGCGTACGAGAAGAGGTGAGAGGCAACACTAATGGCTTCAAAATCGAATTACCGATCATAGGGATAGAAAGAAGCCGCCACGCGATTGGCACTTTACAAGATGACTAGATGCTCCATGCTTCTCGCTAATTACGTCCCGACTAGCACACTTTCGGGACGGGGCAAATTTCTCGAGCGAGGCCCAATTACTCCACCTCTTGCTGGTCTGTAGTGCTTCGTCATACATTTCCTGGTTTCGTGATTTCATTGAGGATAGTATGTTAACCGGCGTTTCATGTCCAAATGTTTCTGCTAATTTCAAAAAGTAGGTCTTTACTTTTGAACAGGGCTTAATGAGACGCAATAATTTTGAGAGGATTGGTTTGAAAGGATTTTAAAAAATTATCAACCTTCTCTAGTTTCTATTTTATATTTGATATCTCGTAATCTGCAGAAGTTTGATATGGTCTCTTTTGGAAAGAAGAATGTGATAGTCGGCAAAAGAAAACATATCAAGTTAAGTTCCGCAAGGATCTATTCTTATGAAAATCTGTGAAGCATAAATGGAAGAAGTTTGAGCTTATATTGAGATACATACGTTCAATTTAAATTCAAGTATTGCAATTACTGATTGAAAATTCTCTTACTACATAGCAATTTGCTATCTTCATTTAAGTATACACTTGTCGATTAGAAAAAATGTGACTTAGATTCATTTATAGGATTAAAAACAATTAGCTACTCAATTATCTCTCATTCAACTTGAGTTGTGGAAGAAATATTTCTCCAGAGGTAATATTTTTATTTAAACAAATTTTGTTTTTTTATGTACTATAGACTTTGGACTAAACAATATTTTTTCTTATATTTAAATTGAAGTGTTCAATATATCAATAAATATTATTAGTATGTTCAATATTCTCCTGGAAAATATTTAACAATCATATCACTGCAGATTTAGTTCAATTTTCCTTTAAGAATATGTACACCAAATATTATACTTCAAAACTTTTTTTAATTGTGTAAAATTTCAATGCCTTGAATTTGACGAAGCACATAATATCGATCATTTGGTTTGATTAAATTCAGAAATTAGGCTCACTTGGGGCACTCCTCACATTGCCTTCTCTCCTTTAATGTTTTGTCGTATTTTCGAATGAAATATAAAAATCTACACACTATGACTGACGAGTCTGAAATATAATTTTAATACAGCTTACTCCGGCCATAAAAAAGTACATTCTTTTATAATGTGGTTATCTATACTTTGTCATGAATTACATCGTACCACCTTAAGGGAGAAGAGCTTATCCAGCATCGCTGACGCCATTTTATGCTGATGTTGCTGAATCGACCTGAAGACTGAACTCCATTTATAAATTAGTCAGTTGCTAGATTCCATACAGTAAACATCTCTGTAATTTCGAATTTTCACAGTTTGTAATAAAAATGACTTTGCGTGTACGTTGATATATTTCATGTCATCTATGCTAAGTATAATATGATAGGAAAGTGTAGGAGACAATTTGAGGAAGGCTTGGTGAGGAAGGCATTCAAAAACAAATTATTTCAAACAAAAATCATCTGAAGCAGTCATTCCGACAGACGTTTTGAAATATATTCATTTGATAAAATAAGAGATGAATTCATCTTCGTTAATTCGATAAATTTTCAGGTGCATTTTTAGTTCCGTACTGTCTCATGTTGGTTATCGGAGGAATTCCTTTGTTCTATATGGAGTTAGCTCTAGGACAATTCAACAGAAAAGGTGCTATAACATGCTGGGGAAGATTGTGCCCTCTTCTTAAAGGTGAGACAAAGCACGTTTATGCATGTTTTGTAATATTGTTACATATGTTGAAGTAAAAGTAAATATCAAATATCAATATATATCAGTATCAATATATAATCACTGCTACAAACATTATGTAACGTAGTTAAATAAACGAATCTATCTATCTATCTATATATACACAACACATAACTTTTCTCCAACAGAAAACATCAAACTATAAGACATAATGAAGGAAACCATATGAACATCTGGGAAAACCTGAACATCCATAAATAAGTCATAATTTACCTATCAAACTTTTTTATAAAAATAAAACAATTTTATAACTTTTTTGTAATGATTGTACAAAAAAGATTGAAGGTTCATGCTTGTCAAACTTGCAGTTGGATGTGTAGCCACCTTTTATTTATGGACGCTCATTCATCATTCGATTAAGTAACTTCTGGAGACATGACAGGTAAACATACTGCAGTTTAATGACAGAACCTTATTTGCCCTTTTTACAACAATATTCTTCAGTTTCTCAATCACAACCATTTATGTCGTTTTGAATATAACTATTTATTTTTTGGGAAAGAAAGTTTTTGTCTTTCTACTACTACATCTTGATAAAAAAAATGTGGGAATCTTCCAAAGAAAGGAAGGAAGTAATCAATTTGAAAATAAGTAACTCTATACATGGATGATTAGATCATGCAAAGAAGCAACTTTCAGACACAAACTGAAAGAAAGCCCTCCTCCTCCTCCTTACATGAAAACTGAATTATATAGAAGATACTTTTCTCTACTCAGTGTTTGTATTCCAAACATTCGTTATGGAATGAAACTCAGATATAATGGTAATAAATTGCACTTACATGGAACACTGTCATCCTCACTGGTATACATCGATGTATTGCCTTAAGGCTCTTCAGTACCAAATTGGATAACATTATAGAAAATACATACAATTCATTCATGAATTACGATTTTTAATGTCACGGAATAAGTTTGATCTACTTATGTCATCGATGACATCGTAATGACATTCATTCATCTATTTAATTAAATCCTAGCCAAGAGGAATCTTATTTGAATTGAAGGGGTTATATTTTTAGGAGTGATTAATTTTTCGGAAAGAAAGTTAGGATGACATAAAAGTTCATCGAGAAAAAGTGTGGCAATTAGAATAAGTAGTTTCGTTAAATTCCTTCTAGGAGGTTTATCATCATCACTATACCTTTATTGAACTCATTAAACCTCAATATCAAAACAATATCAATATCGAAAAATGATTGCAGCAAGTTCCACCTATTGATGAAAAGTATCCACTGGCAGTCGAGTTTTCCTCTAAGTTTTGAAATAACGACTTCCGCAGGTTACATATGATGTGAATAACGACTACATTAAATGTTCATATCTGCAAATTCGTAAAGTGACAGAAAAGGAAAAAAGCAATTTAAAACCTCTCAACACTCGCCCTGAAGAATCATGAAATATGTTACGGTCGAATAGCCCCATTCTTTCGAACAATTTAGCTTTGATTTTACCAGTGAAAGCGTTTTTGAATGTCGACTGTTCGTTTATGATATTCTGTTAACAAAAATTTGATATAAGACTCAGACTTTGCCCATAATTTTGTTTGAATATCATCAGGGCTGAACATGGAATTTTCAGTTCACATAAAACATACCTAAAAATTACCGAAAAAACTGCCTGCAAGTTTTTCGAATTCTGCTTCACTTTCTTCAATTTCTGACATTATCTTCAATAGAATGAATCAATAATGTGAATCACTGTGGTGATATTAATTACTGTGATGATGTGAATTACTGTGACAACTGAACGATTTGTGAATTGTCCATGAAAAACTTGTGAAAATCCTCAAAATTTACAAAACTCGCAGGTTTTACTACTTTTTTATGACGAGTTAAAATTTTCTGGAATTGTTCGTTTCGAAGAATAGGGTATTATATTTAAAATCTGACAAAAAGTCATGTCAATGAAAAAAATTGGGTTTTACCTTGAAATGAAAGTTGTTTCCAAAGACTATGCTAAATAGTCATACATCTTATACGTCTTATACAGGGTGAAAAAATTGAACATTGGATTTAAACACGCAAATTTGATTTTTTTGAAGATACCACAATTAAATTTTTCAAGAATGTAATTTTTTGACGATTGTTTGAGTTTGTAAAAAGGGCTGAATAAAAATGGGCTTGTATATTGTAAAAATAACCAAATTATTCAAGGTGGCTCATTCGAGCTGCAAAATAGATTTTTGGCGAAAACGGTTCATTAAATATACGTTTTTCATACACCCTTGTAAAGAGGCTTCCAAGACCTTTCAAATAAAGTATCACTCAACCTCTCTCCCCTATTCAAGTTTGAGGGGTTGAAGAGCCCCCTATTAGGAGGTTGCTGGTTCAAGCCTAAAATATACGTCAAAAGATATCCCCCAAACAAAACCATTCGACATATTTCGGGAAATTTTTTTACTCACTATGGGATAAGAAATATACGAGGTGGCTCGTCTGAGATAGAACACCCTGTATAAAAGTTGAAAAATATTGAGAACTGCAAACCGCATTATTGCATGATCGTGATGAAATTTCTCCAGTAAAAAAATCAAATCGAAACACGAACCATAAAAAAAAATATATAATTGTATCAATTTTGGAGTTTTCAACTTCACAAGATCTGGAATGTTTCCAAAACAACAATACATGTTTTGTTTGAAGGTGGTTGACAATGTTTCGTGTTTTGCTGTACAATAGCTTCCTCAAGCAGGATTGTTTGCAAGCTATTGTATAACGGAACACGTGTCGCGATTTGTGAACATGATAATCAAAATGAAAGTTTCATTAGTAAATTTTGGAAAGTTCATCTCGAAATATCTTTGAAGAGTTCAATTCCATCATTAACTTGTCGTATTTACAAATTTTGCCTATAAATAAAATGAATTAATTTTACGAATAGCTCACATACTCAAGCTTTTTTTGCAAATGGTCGACATGGTCTCTCTCTGTTCTCAGAATCCAAAAGTATTCGTAAGTGTGCTGCATAATTAAATCGATGCCGTTTTTACAAATAATTTTCTGTTTTTAGAAGCACAAGAGGATGTTTTCTGAAGCATTAGTTATTTGTAGAAAAATCTGATTTACTGAGTACCTAATTCACTCTTCAGAAGTTTATACTACGCACTACCCAGTTACTTTTCAGGATGAATTATACTTGACCAGATTTCTGTTGATTACATCCAAATATTTTTTTTACTATGCACCTACAGTGTCATCCCCAAAGTATGCACCATAAACAAGAACTCAATATTCAATAATATCAAATCACAAAACGTCAAAACAAAATAGGTATTTCGAAACAAACTCATTGATTTCCTGAAGAATTTCTTTTTCAAAATGAGTGTTTCAAGTTGAATCACAACACAAACTAAAACAAATGCTCATTGCAGCTGAACCATATGGATTGGAAGATATGGATGAGGGCACTTTCAAGAGATAACTGTCTCTAGCAATATGTTATATGTTGTTCGTAATCCTTTCAATGTTTTAACAAATCACTTCCCGATGTAATGGGATGAAAATCTACACTATTCTTTTTACTTGTACTATACAAATTTTGTAATTTGTTCCTTGTGCGAAATAAATATTCTATTCTATTCTATTCTGTATAAAAGGTTAATAGCCCAAACACACCAACAAACAGCAGTGAAAAATCGCCGAATGTGCAAGGCAACGAGACAGTTATTGTCAATATCCAGAAGTGGTGTTGATCTGAAACTATTTTCAATGAATCGACTAACCATTATCAATTATTCCTTTCTCAAATTGAAATGGGTGTATTGTTTTTGGAAAAAAGCTGTTTGTAATAGTGAAAGCTAAAACGCTTCTGATCTCCCCTAAAAATATACCCTTTTCAATTTAAATAAGATTCCTATAGCTGGGATTGAATCAAATAATCGTATGAGTGTCTTCAAGTACTGTCATCTTAGATTTGTCTTATCCGTGACATAAAGTGTATCAGCCTTGATATTATCCAAATAGGTTCTGAAGAGGCAATAAGACAAATGTCTTATTCCGAAACTTGGAAGTCCACCATTGAGGATGATAGTGTTCAATGCAATATATTATATTGTGTAGCGTGCCAATGAATGACATCTGATTCGATTCCACAACGAATGTTTGGAGTAAATCAAATCAAATTTATTATTAATTTGAAGACCACAAGTGGTATAAGACATGTCAAAAGTTTGGGTTATAGAGACAAAAAGCAAAATTACAGAGTAAAAAGTTAAATGTCAAAATGGTAAGTACAAGTACAGACAAAGTAGGTACACTACAATTTAAATATCAATATAAACATGCAATTACACACAGAGTATGTCAGAATATACTATCAGTGATTTATATACTAATAACTTCTTCCACCCTCAATTAGTAATTTTTCATCTTTGATGTTTCGAGGAATTTTATTAAAAATTCGAATTCCGATGCTTAGAGGACGGTTTTGTGATAGGTTCAAACTGTTTAGAGGAGTATTCAGCAAATGGCGATTCCTGGTGGAACGACCGTGAATGTGATTACGACAGAGTAAAGAGAAATAAGGGGTAATACTTGTAGCTTTCTAAAGAGAGGACTACTAGATTCTGTTTGGGGTTTGCAAAACATGGCACGAATGCACTTTCTATGTAATGAAGAGACGAGCAGGTGATTGTCATCATACTATGATTCCGTATGCCAGTCCCGACAGAATTCCAAATAATAATTTTCAAATGGAAAGTTACCTATTTAATTTTCTAATAGCCAAGTTTCAGTTGACGTAATGAACGGTGGATATGAGTAATGCTCAAGTTCTAATACTATGATTCCGTATGCCAGTCCCGACAGAATTCCAAATAATAATTTTCAAATGGAAAGTTACCTATTTAATTTTATGATAGCCAAGTTTCAGTTGCCGCAATGAACGGTGGATATGAGTAATGCTGAAGTTCTACTTCTATTAGGGTTTGTTTGTTTCTG